ATCGGATTGGAGCCAATCCAGTCCATCTGCATTTTAATTGGATTAGATTGGGTTGCAACAGATGTTTCTGTATTTTTTTTTATCAGTGTATGTTTCTGTATTTTTTGTTTTAATATTTTTTAGGATTCTTCATGGGATTTTGGTGTTTCATTAACTTAGGATCGGATTGGACCCAATCCAGTCCATTTGCATTTTAATGGATTAGATTGGGTTGCAACAGATGTTTCTGTATTTTTATTTAGTATTTTCTGAGATTCTTCGTGTGATTTTGGTGTTTCATTCACTTTGGATCGGATTGTATCCAATCCAGTCCATTTGCGTTTTTAATTGGATTGTAGATGTTATAGGCTTTTTTCATATATTTTTTAGGTTCTTATGTAATTTTTTTTTAGTTTTATTTAGTTTGGATTGTATTGGACCCAATCCGGTCCATTAGTATTTCAATTTGGACTAAATTGGACTTGATTTGTGTGGATTTGGACCTGATGTGATCTAGTTCATTTGTAAATAGACCAATATCAGATTGGACCAAATCCAGTCCAATTGACAACCCTAGCCTCACATCCAGTTATGATTGCATCAACGACTTAATGTCATCCTTGGCCATCAAAACGGCAAAATGTCTTATGTTTGGCGATAGAGCAAAATTGTCATTTCCCTTCTTACTTTTCAAACATGTTTACCAATATATTGTGGGATAAGTTGGTTAATTAGGTAATTGATCAATTTTCCTCTGCTCGTATAATGGGCCTATGAAAAAATTAATTTTCGAAGAGTATCTGTTATGGATAAATTGTTTATCCATCTTTCGAAAATGTTAAAATCTCGTGCCAAAGGTGTAAAATGTTATCAGTGTAAAAGTACACTGATGGCATTTTACGTTGAACTGTATAATAGGTGATCGCTATATTTTGAAAATTGTGATAAATAAGTGTAAAGTTTTACATTGATAAAATTGATATAGTATTTACATCAATAATTGATGTAAAACTTTATGTTTGATGAGGTTTTACATCGATTCATGATGTAAAACCAGATGCCAATAAATCTAAACCGGAGTGGAGTTTTACATTGATCTTCATTTACATTCCTTCCAAATGCCAACAAAACCAAACCGGTGTAAGCTTTTACATCGTTCTTGATTTACACTCCTTCCCTAGGAATCATTTGCTTAGATACAAGAACTCTATGTGCATGGAGATCCTATTGTTCTCGTTTTTTGAAAATAAAGGTCTTAAAAACTAGACCAGACACAAAACCGTTATGGGGACTGGTTCCCGAGTCGAATGGCCTGATTGTCTAGTTTGAACGAACAACCCATTCTGACTTAAAAAAATAAAAAAAGCCAAAAACAATTGGATCAACGGGTCACTGACCAAATCAATGGTTTTTGGCCAAAAAGGGGTTTTAGGGTGAAATGGAACTGATTACTTGACTAGTTCTTGGGTCAACCGGTCCAACCATCTGATCCTGTCTTGTTTTCAAAACCAAAATTGAAAATACCTCCACTTTAGTCTTTATTGGCAACAAAATCAAAATCTTGTAACTAACAAAACCACCTTGAGGTCATAATAAAATTGTTTTTGGGAAATGTTTAAAGTATGATAAATATATTAACAAAACAATAAAATGATAAATCTATTTATATATTTAGCAAGATGGTCCACGTCACCATGACTCTCCTTACTCCATTACCCCTATGGCCCTACCTTGCATTCTACTTGACTCTCTCTCCTCTCCCCTTCCCACTATTCCTATTAAGCCAACTCAACACCCTCAATCTCCATTTCCTAATTAACTCAATACATTTTACCCAAAATCTCTCTATCTCTACAACTCACATTTTTCACTCTTATCCAAATAACTACTCTCCTTAATTAGCTCAACTCATCTATTTCTCTTTCTCTTTCTCCACACTACTAATTTGTTGTTCTTAAAACTTTCCTAAAGTCCTAATTCCTAAAACCTCTCCTCATTCTTCTTCTCCACTTCTAATTAAGACACGTCTCTCTCTCTCTCTCTCTCTCTCTCCCTATATATATATATATATATATAACTAAAGTAATGTGGTTTATTGGATCGGGTATAATTTGGTTTTCATTAATCCGACCCATTTACTTTGAATGGTATATTTCCTATTGTTTATAATTAATAGTTTCATTTTATTTTATTATAACTCATACCTAAATAAATTAATTATTTTTGTGATTAATTAAAAATTTCCAAACAATATTACTATTTTTAATAATTAATAATTTTCATTTTAGTAATATTTTTGGGATTAACTACTAATATTGTCGACAATTTACTAATAGCTTACCAAAATTAATTAATTCTTTTCAGGATTAATTGAAAATACCAAAATTCACTTAAAATATATTATTTATATCCATGATTTATTAAAAATTGTCAAAATTTAATACCAAAACATATTACTATTTTTAGTAATTAATATTAGTGATATATTAATAATTCATGATTAAATAATTAGTGATATATTACGAACAAATTATTTAATTACCAATAATAATTATTTATTATATTAATATTAAAGTTTTGAAATTAATAATTATTTCATGAATAATTAAATTGATTATTAAATTAACTAGTATTACTGTTAATGATAGTAATATTTTTTATTCATTAAGAATTGTCAAATTTATTAATTCATAATTAAGAATTATAAACTATAATTATAAATTTATTAATATTTTTAAATATTAATTATAAAATTTTTAAAAAATATTATTAATTATTTTTTGTGAATAATTACAAAATACCATAAAATATTACTATTCTTAGTAATTAGTATTACTGTTAATAACTACAAATTAAAATTAGTGCTATTAATTACTAGCGATACACAAGTTTTGTTAAAAGAATTTGAGGCAAAAGGAGCTAGGGGTGTACCTTGGGTTGGGTGGGCCTAACTCAAGCCTGAACTAGTTCAATCCAAGCTTTTGCACAAGTTGGGCTTGAGTTTTTGAACTTCAAGTTGGGTTTAGGGCAAAAAACTTAAGACTAATCTAAACTCAAGTTGGGTTTGGGTTGAGGCCTCAAGTAATTTAGGCTCGACCCACCTCAAATTGAGCCTATACAAACATTTTGGATTCATTTGGAAATGATGCAAATCCCGATCCAGGATAAATTTGTACTCTGGTTCACTTTTACTTGTGTTTGGTAACATTACATTTATGCATTGACAAATGACAGAAAACACATTTTCCAATGCATATTTACATTGATAATAAGATGTAAAAGCACATCAATAAAAAAGAAGTAAATTTGTATTCAAGTGGGCTTTTGATAAAAAAAGTATATGCTTTATTGGAATTCGTTTTTACATCCATTACAGCTAAAAGTCTGTTTGGTAAGAAGGTAAATTTGTCAGTGCGAAACTAACCCAACTTTGCAATTTATATAGACCGTTTTATACTCTACATATTTGCATTCGCACTTATTTGCATCGTTTTCAAACACAGCCTTTATAACATACATATCTACATATTATCAATATGTTCTACTTGGAAATTGGGATATAAAGCTTAATATGTCCAAGCCCAAGTCCAACCCAAGATGTTAGGTTAAACTTGGGTTGGGGCTAAGTTGGTAAACTCAGCCTGGGTTGATAAATTATCAATAATTATTGTCATTCTATTTTTGTTATATATTAATAAATTATCAGTAATTATTGAAAATTAGTAGTAATTTTTCTCTTACCAACCTAGGCCTAATCCAAGTTTTAGCCCAACATCTTGAGTTGAGCTTGGGATTGGACGTATTGAGCTTTGTAGTCCAATATTTAGGTAGAATTACATTGACAATATGTAAATATGTATATCACAAAATGTTGGACGACTCAAATTGATTGAATTGGGTACAAACTACCCAAGGCCTCGACCCAAGTCCAACCTAAATTTAGGTTAGACTTGAGTTTTTGGCTTAAACCTATCTTGAAGTTGAAAACTCTAAGTCCAACCTAGGCAAACTCTTTGATTGAATTGAGTCGGGGTAAAGTTAGGCCTACTCAAACCGCACCCCTAACTTCTTTGACCTCAAGTTGTTTTAACAAACCCATACATGATACAGGTCCCCACTAGTTGAATAAGATGCCTCAATTTTGTGCCGGACGTGCACTCCTTAACTTCTTTGAACAAAATCCGTATATGACACGGGTCCCCACTAGTTGAATATGATGCCTCAATCTTGTGCCGGACGGGACAGGATGGATTAATTGGATATTACCTCTCTACCTTTAAGTTATGCATTTTCCTGAATCTTCAACTTTTTAAGTGGGTCCCGCATGTGTCAATACAGGTGCGTCCCAGGTGTTAGGATGCTTCTTCTAACTTGCAAGGCGTATATGCCAAACACAAAATCAATCCGTAATTTTCATACTTGCAATTATTTCAAAGAAGAGAAGAAGATGGAAGCAAACCAAACTCTCAACTGTGTATCAAATTCATGTTTTGAGATGGACATGGATGCTACCTAAATAACCAATCTACTGAGGGTGATTCTGATTGGTCAAAAGCTCTTCCCGTTCCTGCATAAGGGTAAATTGGTGAATTTATCATACATTTATATTAGAATAATTAGGTAAGAGAATTTATGATAATACAAAGTCTTTCCAAATGCTGATACCAAAGTCATTCATGTAACTTTTGTGAGGGGTCAGAATTAGAACAATATAAATAAAAATGTAGTAAGGAAAGCAAACCATACACAATATATACAGAATAATACCAAATATAATGTTTTTCTTTGTAGTTCCACTATTTCCAAACTGGGTCAGAAGAAAACCGGATAAGAATCCCATGGACATTTTCGTAATTCACAAAAATCGACCGAGGGGGGTATGGTATGGTATGGTAAACGAGTAAACCATACGTGAAATGAGGAAAAGGGAATAAGGGATTATGGGAAGGGACAAGGGAGTCATTTCCGTTTGGAATTAGATGCAGCAGTGAGACTGTGAGCGGACGCGAGAAAGGGTGTCTCTGTGTCTGAGACTCTGTCTGAGTGAGTGGGTGTGAGAGAGAGAGAGAGAGAGAGAGATAATTCAAGTAAAAAGGAGTCCGATTTTCTTTTTCATTTTTTCCACCACCGCTCTCTCTCACTCTCAGTCTCCCTGAAAGGCAAAAACCGCTTTTCTTCATCTTCTCCTTCCATATTTACCCTTTTACCAAAAAAGTTAGTAAAATAATAGTAGTTGTACATGAATAGTGGCATCGTCTCCACCAATAAGAAAGATACTGCAAGGAGAGATGGAGGAAACTTCTCTGATGTTCCAAGTTTTTATCTTGGGATAGCTTTGAATCCGATGTTTTCGTTCCAACTAGCTCTGCCGTCTTTAGATCTGGTCTGTCATCTCATCTGTGGTCCAGTCATGAATCGTGTAGCTTTAGTCTTCGGTTCAGTTTACTTTCGTCCTGAATTTTTTGGCGACAGGGGTTGAAGATCAAAATTCCCAGTTTGTTACTCACTAGTCACCACTTATCATGATTTTGATTGACATGTCTGTACGAAGGTTTGAGCGTTTGAGCTCTCAACTCCAGGGTTCAAAATGATCGGAAAGAATTCTATGAATCCGTGAAGGTACACGAAAATGATTTTGTTTTTTATTTTTATTTTCATTTTTTTTTTGTAGAATCGAACTTCAGGGACTTGGAAGTCTTCTTTGTATTTTTAAGATTCTAACTGATTGTTATTTCACGCGATTTGAAGGCTTGCTATTTTTTTTTTCTGCATCATTTTCATTTAATGAACCTCCGAGGAGAGGGAAAAAATTAAAAAAAAAAAGGAAAGAACAGGGCCGACTTTTTTTTTCGGGATTATCTTTATGTGATATGCGAGAAGCCCAACCCTAATCTATATGAACTTCACCTTAACTGCAGTGTCAAACAAAATTCTGAAGTTGTTTTTCCTCGACTGAATTAATTGCTCATATGAAAGTTTTTGTTTGGTAGCCATTTTCATTTTATCGTTATTTATGCTTGGTTTGCTTTGCAGAATCAAGTCAGTTCGAGTTTCAATCGGCGTATACCTTGTTTCTCTTACTAACTGTGGGATATAGGGTTCAATAAGATGGACGACGTGGGTGCTCAACTCGCTTCACCCCTTTTCATTCATCAGGCACTGTCTGGTCGATTCTGTGAAGCGCCTTCCATGGCAAAGAAGCGCGATCTGCCATGGCAAAGCCCCAACTTTCAGCATCAGCATCAGCAGCAGCAACATCAACGTTTTAATTCAGGGTTTCAAAACTCGAAGGGTAATTGGAACCCTAATAGTTGGGATTGGGACAGTATGATGTTTGTTGCGAAGCCCTCGGAGACAGAGGTTCTTCGCGTGGGGACTGCGGCAGTAGTTGAATCTGAACAAAAGAAGAAAGGAGAAGAAACCTTGAAAAGTTTAGTTGTGAATAAGGGCTCTGTGGATGAGGACGGAGAGAACCTTACCTTGAAGCTTGGTGGGAGCTTGTATTCAGTAGATGAATCTGCGGCAAGGCCCAACAAACGTGTCCGATCTGGATCCCCTGGTACCGGCAGCTACCCAATGTGTCAAGTAGATGACTGTAAGGGAGATCTGTCCAATGCGAAGGATTATCACCGTCGACATAAAGTATGTGAGCTTCACAGTAAAACCACCAAGGCGCTCGTAGGGAAGCAGATGCAGAGGTTCTGCCAGCAGTGTAGTAGGTAACCTTTGTTTTGAGTTAGTAATCGGATCATGTGTAGGTTTAATTTCATATTTATAGGTTTTTCTGGGTAAAGTTCTTATTTTCTTTCGAGTTCTAGATTGGTATGACATGGTTACATGGGTCTTAGGTTGAGATTTCCTGGGCTCCTTTTTTTAATTAATTTCCAAAATGGAAGTTTTAGTGGTCATTTCTGTCTGGTATGTTGTAATTCTTGCTTTAATTATTCTTTCTTTGTTTTATGTTTTTCCCCAGATTTCACCCACTCTCAGAGTTTGATGAAGGTAAGAGAAGCTGCAGGCGAAGACTTGCTGGGCATAATCGGCGAAGAAGAAAAACACAACCAGAAGATGTTTCCTCACGGCTGTTGGTGCCTGGAAACCTGGAGAATTCTGGTAGTGGGAATTTGGACGTTGTTAATCTGTTAACTATTTTATCTCGGCTCCAAGGTAAGATGGACTTTCTCATGGTGTTAATAGTTCTTGACATCCCATAGGATTTTACTCGATCCAACTATCACTGCAATCACAGGTAACATTGTGGACAAAAGTGCCAATGGTCCATCAACTCCAGATAGAGAACGACTTATTCAGATTCTTAACAAGATTAACGCTTTGCCCTTCTCTGGAAATTCTGCTTCAAGATTGCCTGTACCTTGTAGTTTTGACTTGAATGTTTCACAAGAAGCTTCTTCAGACAGCCTGAATAAAACAAATGGAAATACACCTGTTCCCTCTACCACGGACTTGCTTGCTGCTCTATCGGCTGCTTTGGCAGCAGCTACACCTGATGCTATTGCACTTCTTTCTCAAAGAAATAGCAAAAGTTGTGATGATGATAAAAGTAAGTTGAACTCCCTTGACCAAGCTGGTGGTTTTCATTTACAGAAGAAGCCAATTTCGGGGTGCCCTTCAATTGGAGGAGAGAGAAGTAATAGTACCTCTCAATCTCCAGTAGAGACTCCAGATTGCCAGGTTCACATATCTAGACCAAACTTACCATTTCAACTATTTAGTTCCTCTCCCGAGGGTGGCAGCCTACCTAAATTGGGATCTTCCAGGAGATATTTCTCCTCAGACAGCAGTAATCCATTGGAAGAGAGGTCTCCTTCATCCTCTCCCATTGTGCAGAAACTATTCCCACTGCATTCTGAAGCAGAAATTTTGAAACATGAGAGAATGTCCATGAGTGGAGAGGATAATGCAACAATTGAAACCAGCACAACTCGTGGTTGGACATCACCTCTGGAACTCTCTAAAGGGCCAAATGGAAGGCTTGAGAGTGGTTCAGCTCAAAACCTACAATATCAAGGAGGATACACTTCCTCATCTGGCTCAGATCATTCACCTTCTAGTTCAAATTCTGATGCTCAGGTTATTTTATTTCTATTCTCCTCCAATTTATTGTGACCTTTAGGATCATATTCTTTCCTCGTTAGTGCTATTTTATAAAATTGAAGTTCGGTTGCTTTTTTCTATTGTACAGGACCGCACTGGGCGAATCATTTTTAAACTATTTGACAAGGATCCTAGTAATTTGCCTGGCACACTAAGGACACAAGTAAGAAACAAAAAATTTCCTCTTTTGTTGTCAAGTTATTTCCAGTTGATTAAATGTTATTGATACCCATGTTTCAGATCCTTAATTGGCTATCTCATAGTCCATCAGAGATGGAGAGTTACATTAGGCCTGGCTGTGTGGTTCTTTCAGTATATGTTTCAATGTCTTCTACTGCGTGGGAGCATGTAAGTGCATTTTATATTAGTTAGCTTTTTAGAATATCAGTATTTTATCATCATCATCATCATCATCATCATTATTATTATTATTATTATTATTATTATTTTCTGATCAGTGGCATGGTGTTAATTTGCAGCTCCAAGAAAACCTTCTCCATCTTGTTAATTCACTAGTTCAGGATTCAGCTTCTGATTTTTGGAGAAATGGCAGATTTTTGGTTCATACGGACAGGCAGTTAGTGTCGCATAAGGATGGTAAGGACCAAAATGTACTCTGACAGTGCAATATGTTCAGTCTATGCATAGGTTCAAGCTTGAGAGATTGTTATCATATTTTGATCTTGGTTTGTCTTTTTCTTTTTTATTTTTTTTAACTGGAAACCCCTATCTATATTGAAAATCCCCCAAGTTTGTGGGTCTTGAAAAAATTGTGGTCATCCCTTTTTTCTAATGGTGCTGCTTGCAATGGACCTGCAGGAAAGATCCGACTATGTAAATCCTGGAGAACATGGAGTGCTCCAGAGCTAATCTCTGTATCTCCTTTGGCTGTTGTTGGTGGAGAGGAGACATCTCTGGTGCTGAAAGGTCGAAATCTGACTGCTCCAGGCACCAAGTAAGTGGATGATTCTTTTTATTTTTTTAATTTTTTATGATCAACAGAAAAGCATAATAAAATTTGTATTTGATGTAGGGTTCATTGCACCTATTTGGGAGGGTATAAAACAAAGGAAGTTCCAGGATCAATTTACCAGGTAGCCATGCATGATAATACAAGCTTGGAGATGAAGTTTCCTGGTGTCCTAGGTCGCTGTTTCATAGAGGTAGCACTCTCTTTTTGTTTATTAGGTAGCAAGGTTCAAAGTATCGGCCTGTATTGGCCGATACGTATTGTGTCGGTGGCTTCCCGATACACCTTTACAGGGGGTCTATTGGGGTTCTGACCGGTTCAGGGGGTGGAGGAGCCTTAAACCGCCCCCCGAACTGGTTTTGAAAAAAATAAAAAAATGGGTTGAAAACACTATCAATATCGCCCGATGTGCCCCTACTGGCGTATCGATATTTTGAACCTTGTTAGGTAGTAATATTAGGGTGATCTTCTCCAACTTGAACTTATTTGCTTTTTTTTTCCCCCAAAAAATGCCAGATCAGCAAAAAAAAAGTTCTTGGATTTGTTTTCTCAAAAGAAATTGAGAACAACATTGATCCTGGAGCAACAAAAAGATGCTTTCAAAATAAGAATATATTTTTATTTCTGTAAAGGTTTATAAGGGCTACTATTTGGTTTGTCACATGTACAACATAATCTCCTATAAACACTCTTACAAGTGCTGCTTTACCCATATTTAAATTGACTAAAGTACAAATAAAAATAAAAGGGTGAACTAACATCTGCTGGATCAGATTCTTCATCTGAAAATTGTATGCTTTATGGAACATAATATCAAACCAAAATCATGTTTTTGAAACCAGAAATTCAATAATTCACTTATGGAAAAAAGGAAAACAGTACACAACCAAGAATAAGGTTATGCTTTATTTTATTTTTTAAGAAATACATGCTCTTTCAACACAGAAGTGGGCTCAGTTATCTTGAATTGCAACAAAGAAAGCAATTCATGTTGAAGACCCCCTACACTTGCTGTAAAATCTGATTATTTTGTTTAAAACTATGCTAGACAAACTAGCAGCCCATGTCTCTCTGTAGTTTCTAACATCTTCTAAGTAATGCAATTGTATGAACAGGTAGAGAACGGTTTCAAGGGCAACAGCTTTCCTGTTATAATTGCTAATGCTACCATTTGTCAAGAATTAAGAGTTCTTGAATCTGAGTTTGATCAAGACTCGAAAATGGCTTCTGTTGTTACAGAAGATTGGATTCAGGACTTCAGGCGGCCACAGTCCAGGGAGGACATTCTGCACTTCCTAAATGAACTTGGATGGCTATTTCAAAGGAAAAAGAACCCTTCTAAGCCAGACAGTGCTAATTTCTCCCATTCCCGGTTCAAGTTTCTCTTCACTTTTTCAGTTGAAAGAGACTGGTGTGCTGTAGTTAAAACACTCCTGGACATCCTTTTGGAAAAAAGCACAGGTACAGATGGGCCATCGAAGGCATCCGTAGAGATGCTGTCGGATATTCAACTCTTGAGCAGGGCAGTAAAGAGAAGGTGCAAGAAAATGGTTGACTTGCTTGTCCATTATTATGTAACTGCTAATGGTGGCAGCACAAAACAATATCTTTTCCCCCCAAACTTGGTGGGATCAGGTGGTGTCACCCCTCTGCATTTGGCTGCATGCATGCAAGGTTTGGAGGACATAGTTGATTCTCTCACGAATGATCCACAACAGGTAATTAATCAGTTTTCATTAAGAATTTGACTGAATTTGTACACCCACTAATCTCAGACTACTCAGCTATTCTATGTTAGGCTCTTGGGTGAAGAAACTGCTATGGTATTTAATTTGTTGCAAAAGCTGATAATGATTTGATTTGTTTTGGCCATTTAAACCAGTCTCGTGGTTTTCTTTCGGTATTATTTGCTTATTGTTTTATGTTTCTTTGGTTATTTTATTTTGGCATGCACTTGAAATGCAGATTGGATTGAACTGCTGGAATTCTCTACCAGATGCTAATGGGCAGACTCCATTTGCATACTCCTCAATGAGGAACAACCACTCCTACAACAGGATGGTGGCCAGGAAACTTGCAGACAGAAAACGTGGTCAGGTTTCAATATCGGTTGGGGATGATATCTCTTTGCATCAGTCACGGATGATGGCTGAACAAACTAATAAGCTGCTTCCTGAAACATCGCAAGGGTGGCAATCTTGTGCCAAGTGTACAGTTGTGGCAACAAGGAGCTACAAACGGATGCCGGGTTCTAAAGGCCTGCTTCACCGTCCTTATGTCCATTCAATGCTTGCAATTGCGGCTGTTTGCGTCTGTGTATGCTTGTTCCTTCGGGGCTCCCCTGATATCGGCTCTGTTGCTCCTTTCAAGTGGGAGAATTTAGATTATGGGTGGAGCTAATTTGGGGAAAGGGTGGAAAGAAAATGGAATAAAAAAAAGGATGGAGGAAATACCCAGAAAAGAAAGGAGGATAGTGGAAGGGCTGGCCGTTTTGGTTCCAGCTTCTACTTGTTTCTTATTAGCTAAGTGGTTTATGTTGGCTTTGGGAACGTTTAGTCCATTTGTAATGGAGGATAGAGAATGAAATTCCACACTGGTGGGTGGGTGGTGCTCTACTGCTCTCACACTGGTATATCTTAAGTACGAATCTGTGCAGAGGGGAAACGTCCACGAGTAAAAGCCGCTGCTGGTGGCATCAGAGCATGTGAGAAGTATAAGCAAGGTAGTTTGTTTCATTTTTTCTTCTTTTTTTTTTGGGTTAACCATTTTCTTGTTCTCTCCTCGGTGTTTTTTAGTCTTTCTCATTAATTTTTGTTTTTTGTATCGATTAACATAGAAAAAGAAAATTCATGTGGAAGACCAAGTCTGAGAAACTGACCATGAATTTTTGTCATTGTAAAATCATAAAACCGGGGTGGGGTGGATGAAGAACCTAACATAAATAATTAAATATACATGATTATTTTTATTATACATATAAAGGAGGTTTGAATTTATGTTGTTCAATAACAAAGGGACATGATATAATTGCATTCGTTCTGGACCGAGGGTTGCATGTTAAGTTATCATTACTAGAGGACTTTGTTTGCCATTTGTCTTCTCCACTTATCATACTAGCGGGCCCCGTGTGATGCACAGGAAAATCAGAAAGTTTGAAAGTGGACGTTTGCCTTTTGTGTTCCATGCAGTTTACTGTTTAGTTCATTCAATGTTTGCACTTACGGATTTTTCCTTTCTAAACGGCCCAAGTAATGGACTTGAGTATGAGCTATGATAGGTCTGCAAATGGATTGAATCAAATAAGTAGATTCAAAATTTCAAATTTGAATTGAACCTTATTGGATTCACGCCAAAACTGAATTGATTTTGAATTGCAATTTGATATTGAATGGTAGGTTTTTTTCTGGTAATCAAAATATCAAATGTTGAATGGTAGGGTTAGACCATGATACCGGAAAACTTGTAACCAAAAAATTGGTATAATAAAAGTGATAACCAACCAGGTGTTATTCATCTAAGAGAGGGTTGGGTTGATTGATCTAAGATCTTCGTGTATCATACTTTTACGGCATTATAAGTTTACCCTGAACGGTATTGTAATTTATCAACATAATTTATTTTTGAGGGAAGCCCATGGGCAGAATTTCATTAGCTTGATGATGAGTCCATTTCAATAGTATTTACATAAAAAGTCTGGAATAGGAATAGTAGACCAAAGAGAGATAAACCCTGTCTGGCAGCTAAATGAGCAACAACATTTTCCGTTGGTCGCACAATGCCATAAAGACCAACATGAGTTTGAAAATACTATAAGCATCACCCTCAATGATAACGTATGATAATTGAAGTTGTTGGACTAAAAGTAGATGAAGATAAAGAGCCAAAGCTTTAGCCATGATGGAACTTTCACATTTAATAGGTAAAATTCTTGCACGAAGAAAAGTACCAAAATGATCCTAAAGGACCAGTTTAAAAGCCAAATTGTTTGAATCGCCAAACATGACAATAAGGAGTGCAAAATAGTGTCTTGTGGATGATTACAGAACGGAACATCTTGTATCAATATGGCTATTGTGCTTCTGTAACGTCTCAGCCGTGGGTAGAATATTGTGTGCACAATGCCATAAACACAGTTTGACTGATGGAGATAAGTACTTCTGTGACCAAAGATGGTTCCATTGCAAACCATGTAAGATAGTAGTGGGAGAGGAGGAGGGAGATAGGCATTGGCTGCGACAATTATTTTCAATGCAGATGAAATAGTAAATTTTCCATTGCAAACCATACTAGATTATCGTTACAATTTCTTCTGGGAGATGATGATGCAATCTGTCAACATCCCATTGTTTTGAAAACTGATTGATGAGAGCTGCAACTTTTGGAGCTTTAGGTATCGTGTGTGCACAATCATGAAGAAAGGTATTTGGCCCACACTAAGGATTATGGAAAAAATCAACTGACCAACCATCTCCAATTACCCATAGAGCCCCGTGTTTAAGAAACCTTCTCTTGCTAGAAATGTTTACCATGTAATGTAAGTGTTTTGCTCTCAACATAAAACTTGAAGATATAACATTATAACTTCTAAGCATATATTTGTTTTAACTGAATTGGATGAATTATAAAAGGGGTAGGTGCATATTTGATCCAATTTATAAATGTATTGAATTTGGATCATCCTTAAATTAGATTAATTCGGACAAACATAAACTATTTGCAGCACTAAAGATTTTAGTTTTCTTCATTGTTTAATAGCTTATCTATATTACTAATTGCTCTTTGACATTGTGATGGTTATTTTCTCCTTCAATTCTCCTTGACCTGGTAGTAAAATAATAATATCCATGGCGATTTCTTTTCGGTGTATGTGTAGGAGAGGCTGGGTACATTTATGATTTATCAGATCTGTAGTCATGTTAAGAAGCCAACTCGCAAGCAAAGGAAAAGGAATCTGGACGTTGACCAGTCGATTTTTTTCATCACTATTAAGTATTTTATATCATTATTAAGTATTTCATATTTTTGGGTTAGGGACCAGGGAGAGATGAAGTACGTCCTTCCTTCCATATAAAAAAGGGCAAGAGCACACGAGAAGTACGGGGCTTTGGGTCAATTAGGAGTTCCGTGACACACGGTTTTTGATTGATTGATTGATAAATAATTATGGGTAAAATGCAAAAACCTCCCCCTTTAGTTTCATTTTGATAAATACCTCTTTAGACTTTTCAAAAATTCAATAAAAACCTCTCTTTCGTTACTAACCTGATGTGTCAAATTTTTCAAATAACCATTCTGACCTTGTGTAAATTATTTTACATACAATTTTACTAAACTTCCTTTGATCTCAATATTTATTAATGTGTGATTAAAAAGTGAGGTATTTACAACATGCTAAGCATCATAAGCTTGAACAATGCCAAGGCTTTTCACCCATTCATGTTGTTTAGATTACATTTGCCCAAAATAATCGATTCCTCTGTACCCCTTGCTTAGCTACTGCATAAGCCAAGCCATTAGCTGATCTAGGTTACTAGGTGTCCATAGAAAGTTAACCTCCAGTTCCAAAATGTTTTATTCCTCATAACAAGCCAATGCCAAGGCTTGACCTGTAGTTTTATCAGCTTCTCTGTTCTCTTCTATTGTGACCTGATCAAACAGAAGCAAATTAGCAAAGTAATAACCTAAAAGTTCTATTTCATCAAACTCTCAGCCAAACTGTTGTTTCATTTTCTGTGCTTTCATATTTTCTGTTGTTGGTTGCTATTTTCTGTGCTTTCATATTTTACATACTAACAGAACAATTACATTTTACTTGAATCAGATCAATATTCCCTGTGCAAATATATTATGTTTCATTTTCTGTTTCCAGATATATTTCTTATTGTGTTAAATCAAATTGATGGAAGCAAGAAGCATCCTATTTGTGATTTTAGGCTTAAGACTCTAGTGCCTATGCCCAATGCCTGATAACATCAATGTACAGATATTGAAACGGGACATAGTAATTTTGGACTGATAAGCTTAACCCAGTTAAGCTATCAGTCACAGCTTAACAAATGAATTAGTGCACATTAATCAAGTTCTAATTTTCCTCCAGACACCAATGAAAGCTGGCTTTTACACACTTTAGGGGAAAAGAAACCAGAGCTAGCTTATCAATATTGATAAATACATTCTTTGGCTAGCCGGTGCTCCACAAGGTTGTTTGAACATAGATGTGATTCTACCTTCACTTGGGATTTTATGGTTTCCAGCTGAACTCATGCCTGATCTCTGATAGATAAAGTACCTGCTTGGTCACATAAGCTATCACTTTGTATTTGAAATCTTTGTACTTAGGTTGTATAAATTTGAAGTAGAACAACGAAAATCTTTTCAGAGAGAGGAACTCTAAATTATCCTCTAGTAAAACATTCAAGAACAAAGCAATTTGGATATTTAATGTCTGTTCACATGACAAAAGATCAACAAAATAGCAGAACTTGTGTACCCAGAAGAACCTTGGCCTTGTGTTCTTCAAGGGAGTTCTGTATTTATGGATCTTTGAACAGAATTGAGATTATTAGAGTGAGCATTTTAACTTGATAAAAAAAAGTTTCGAACTTTTTAACTTAGCAAAAGAACTCTCACAAAACACAAGATGTTAAACACATAGCAGTTAATGTACAGATAGAGAGGTTGATTGCTTGCTCCAACTCTTCCAAGGTGAATTTCTTCACTCCCTGTGGTCCAGATAGAGAGGTCCCTCCAGAAGTAGATCCACCTCCTCTATTCCACTCCACTGTTGATTCTAACAAAGAAAAGCAGATATTAGTGGCACATGCATATCTCTTTTGAAACATTACATGATTCATCCAAAGCAGCCCTACCTTGTGCAGATGGGTCTGAAGATCCTGTCTCAGAATTCTTGTTTAGCAAGTTCTTAAACTGTGATCTGTAAAACCACATGGAACCAATAACTATCACCAGAAATGTAATCTTAAACTGTCTCAAAATTAGACTCAGATTCTTCATACCAGCAGCGTTCACTCACTCAAAAGTCCCACTTGTCTAACAGTACTAGTAGTTTAGTATAAAATGGCATAATCAATAGTTCTAAGGTCCTACCACAAAGTGGGCATTAAAATTTCTCCAAAAAACTGAGTGTAAACTTTCAGGACACTCACTTGGAGACACTACAAAGTTGTGGTAAGACCCAATAAACCCAACAGGAAATTGGGCTGACCTTTTGCAACTTCCCTACTTTGTTGTCCAGTTTTCAGCATTTCATCCAATGTGATTCTGGGAGAATACATGACATGGATTTTCTGTCATTAGAATTTTATTAGGGTTACTTCTAGAACAAAACATAAAACACATTTGTGTGGGTTAATAGGTAGAGATAGAAGTCTGAACTGCTGTACCCAACAGTCAGGGGTGTCTGAAGTCATTTATTTCAGACCTTAGACGTCCATTTGGTGGCTAACAACATCCTTGGCAAGGAAGATGCTAATTTCAGTTTTTTAAACTATTAGATGTCCATGTAGACCCTACTGTTGCTAAACTTGAATATGATTCTTAAGACCCTTGCACCATCTACTATTAAGAATAATGAAAGATTTCTTATTGGGTTTATTGCATATAATTTCTATTATATTAGGTTTATTGCATATTTATTATGTATTTGTTATGTCTTAGATATGGAAGGACAGGAATCAAGAAGTCAGAAGCCTAACATGACTTGGACCCTAGAAATGAATAATTGTCTTGAGGCACTTGTCCAGCAAGTACATCTTGGGAACAAAGTTGATAAGAGTTTCAAGGGCCCTGCTTATAAAGCTGCAAGTAGGGCAGTTGGTTATAAATTTGGGGTCGATTGTAGTGTTGATCATATTAAGAATCGCTTGAAGACTATAAAAAAAATTGCCAAATTAAAAGCTATTCTTAATCAAAGTGGCTTTAGTTGGAATAATCAAACACATACAATAGATGCTGAACCTGAAGTCTGGAATTCCTATGTTGAGGTATGTGATTTTATATAGTGTTTGGATTATGTTTCTTTTGTTATCATTTTCTAATGTGATGAATTGATTTCTTTTTTCATATTCTCACCCGGAGGCGAGACAATAATATCGTAGGAAAAAAATTGATAACTACGATGATTTGGCACTTGTTTGTGGAAATGATCAAGTTACCGAGAGTGAAGCTTTTACTGTAAAGGAATTGAATAGACGCGAAGCAACTTCAGCCTCTATGACTCATGGTACTGATAGTCAGGTTCCCACACCCTCAGATGACATTGATGATGAAATTGGCGATTCCTCACTACGAGCAGGAGCAATAGATCCACCATCGTCATCGAAAGGATAAGGGAAAAGGAAACTAGATATTGAAGACAAACTTGGAGAGGTTGTAGAAAATTTGGGAAAACTCGCAAAGGCTGTTGAACATGGATCTAGCTTGTTTTATAGAGATATTCTCTTTCGATATGTTATGAGTTTGGAGGGAATATTTACATCATTTTTGTTGAAGGCATTTGATTTTTTATCGGAAGACTGGTTTCATGCCTTGACATTTTATGTGATTATGCCATAACTGAGGAAGGATTGGCTAATCATGAAGCTAGGAGGCCCGTTTTGATGTTAGCATTCTATAATTGATATGGGCCTATGAGTTTACCAACCTTTTACCTTATAGTTTGACATGATAATTTTGGTAATTTTTTTAATGGTCTGAACTATGTTTTATGGGCATTTTGTTTGATTGACTAGACATGACAATTTTGCTATACTTCTCTATAAATATCAATGTTCATTTTCTTGTCCTTTTGGAATTGATATTAGTTGAAGAAATGACTAAGTATGAGTATATCTTTCATATATAATAGTTGTAAGACCTATGATTATTAATTTTCCATATATTTTCCTTGTCTCACCAAGTCCGGACTGACTCAGCCGCAATTTTACATGGACTGGGCTTAAATTTTTGGTCATTAGGCTGGGCCCAAAAGTTTGGGCTTTTAAATTTTTTGGATTAGGCTCAGGCTAGTCCTTAGGAAGCCTGAACCTGGCCTAAGCCCAACTTTACCTTATCACAAGTTCACAACCTTTGTCTGACCCAATTATATACATGTATATATGCATATATAGACACATATTTATATGCATATATGCACATTTGTTTAGTAAATTATGCATATACACATACATGATATATATACACACGTATCAATTTTTAGTGTGGGCTAATTGACTAACTAGAGCCCGGCCTGGACTTGAGTGCATCAAATTTTAATGCAGGCTAGGTGTGGGCTGAATAATTTGGGCTTGACCTTAGGCTTAGACAGGACTTGGGCTTTAAGCCCAATTCTTAGGGTTGGGCCTAGAAAGAACTAAAACCCAGTCCAACACACTCGACTTGCACCCCTACTTTAAATCCCTACATGGATGAAACTCAAGACAAATCCATAAAAAGTACCAGCGTATCTTAAATTTGCAATCCAGTCTGCTCCTTGGTTCGCTTCTCTTTAGATGTGCTTATAACTTATTTTTAATGTGCTTCTTCTGCTATCTCGTGGCAATTTTGGATCAAAGTATCGATACTATAGGTAGGGCTGTCAATGGGTCAGGTCTGGGCTGGGACCAGCTAGAACTGGAACTGACACAATAAGAAATATTGAGGACCTGGAACCGAACCAACCCAATAGGTTTTTGGGATAATCAGGTCTGACTCGACGGACCTAAATATAATAAATAAATAAATAAATATATTTAATATATATTAAGTATAATTCATTTAATATATATTATGTATTATATGAATATAACTCGGGTCGGGTTTGAATCAATTCCGGACTGGGTAGAATTGGTTTTGAACCAATAATAATTGGGACACTATATCAAGACTTGAAGCTGATCTATTGTTCCAGTTGCTGGAACCAGAACCAGCCCAATCAATTCAGATCCATCAGGTCTGTCGGGTTGGATCCGACCCATTGGCAGCCCTAGCTACAGGGGATCTTGCACTTCCTAACAAACCTTAAACCATTAACTTGGAATCTTATTTTAATTTGTATATTGTAGTTTGTATGGGACCTTACATTTTTCCCTAAGGGTCAGTTTGGAAGCAATACAAGTGCAAATATGTATAGCATAAATACATACAAAATAATATAAAATATAAGATTTTGCACTCTACATATTTGCATTTGTATTCCTTCCAAACTCAGCCTAATAGAGTTACCATAGTCATATTTTCTAGACCTAAGCAAGATCTAGACAGGTCAACCTTCCTCAAATGCAGTAGTTAATGTCTTCTTGGAAAAGCTGATAAATGCTCTCGAAGAGAAGGGACACAACCTTCCTCAAAGATCTAGACAGGTCAAAGAGGAAGCTTGAGACGCTCCAGAGAGTTATGGTCGACCTGCGAGAAAAGATTTATGATGCCAAAGACATATTGGCGGATTGCCAAGTTCAATCAAGAGGAAAAGAAGAAGAAGAACAAGTTTCCAAAGGGTGTTTGAAGTGCTTTGCTCCTTCAGACCTGCCTTTCCAGTACAGAACCGGAAAGCAACTCAGAGAAATCAATGAGAAGATAGCCGAAACCAAAGAAAACATCCGAAGTTATCTTGGGTTGTCGATGTTAGCTCAACCCAACACTGCAGATAGCTACAATGACAGATGGAGCTGTCCTGATGTCTATGACCATACCCAGGTTGTTGGATTGGAAGAAGACACAAAGAAGATAAAACAGTGGCTACTAGAAGCCAATGAAGAGTTGCTTGCAATTGGGATCATCGGCATGGGTGTAGTGGGGAAAACCACAACTGCTAAGGAGGTCTACAATGATGCAGAAATAGAACAACACTTCGAAAGGAAGATGTGGGTATCTGTTACTCAGACATTCAAAGAAGAACAGATCATGAGAAGTATGCTCAAATACCTGGGGGATGCTGGTATGGGTGATGATCGAGGAGAACCGTTGCGTAAAATAAACCTATACTTGCAAGGGAAAAGGTACTTATTAGTGATGGACGATGTGTGGAGCTCAGATTTTAAATGGTGGGATCGAATTTATGATGGATTGCCAAAGGGAAATGGGAGTAGTGTCATAATCACTACTAGGCAAAGGGAAGTCGCCAGAAAGATGAGAGTGACAAAGCCAAGAATACATCAACCTAAATTCCTTAGTGAAGAAAATAGTTGGTTGTTGTTCTGTAAGGTACCATTTGCTGCAACCCAAGGTGAGTGCCTTCACTCTGAGTTGTTGGATGTGGGGAAGGAGATTGTTGAGAAATGCAAAGGCCTTCCAATAGCAATCAAGGCAGTGGGAGGAATCATGCTTTGTAAGTATCTTGCTGAATGGAGGCGCATTGCCGATTATTTCCGCAACGAATTGAATGAGAATGATAACTCAGTAATGGCTTCATTGCAATTGAGCTATGATGAGCTCCCCCCTTATCTCAAGTCATGCTTCCTCTGTTTCTCTCTTTATCCAGAAGATTGTGTGATCACCAAGGAGCAATTAATCCACTAGTGGATGGGAGAAGGCTTTGTTCCACTGAGGAATGGTCGATTAGAGACAGAGGCAGGGGAAGATTGTTTCTCAGGATTGATGAACCGATGCTTGATAGAAGTGGTTGACAAGACCTTCAGTGGGAATGTCTACACTTGCAAAATGCATGATATGGTCCGTGAATTGGCGATCCAAGTCGCAGAGGACGAACCATTCTTAGGAGCTCGCCATGTTGGTCTTAGAAGCGAATCTGATCAGACGTGCCTTCAAACAACTTTGAAGTTGAGAGCATTGTTGTCCACCACAAAGACTGGTGAGGTTAATAAAGTGAGTTCCAGCACTGCCAAGAAGATATGTGAATGTAGATACTTGAGGGTATTGGATCTCTCAAAATCTATCTTTAAGACACATCTCACAACTCTATTAGACAGATTGGATCACTCCCACATTTAACTTATCTTGGCTTAAGCAACACTCATCCACTAATTGAGCTCCCTCAGTCACTAGAGAAACTCACTAGCATTGAGGTCTTGGATGTAAGTTACTGCCAAAACTTGAGAATGCTCCCTTCATATATCACAAATTGGAGGAAGTTGTCTGTCTTAGATGTAAGCCACTGCGGTTCACTTGGATACTTGCCTAAAGGGTTGGGAAACCTTTCAAATCTCCAATCGCTATTGGGGTTTAGATCAGCAAGACCTAATCAAATTGAAGGTTGTTGCATTGAAGAGTTGAGGAGGTTGACACGACTCAGGAAACTTGAGCTACGACTTATTAGTGGTGATGAAATTAGAGAGGATGAGGTAAATACTCTATTACACCTTCGACAATTGCAATTTCTAACTATAAATTGCTTCGACAGTCATGGAAGCGATCTTGTCACAGTTGAAATATTTACCAAGTCTCCTAGTTGTCCTCGTCAATAGGAATTTGTTTAAGTGGTTTAGTTTGTTTTTCTGTTACCTGGTCTATAGGAGAATACGTAGCTTTAGGAGTAAGTTGCATGTTTTTAGGAGTTGGTGGTTGCACTTCCTAGTTTCAAGCACTTACCCGTTTGGTTTTAGCTATATAAATAGAGCAGCTTCTTGTTGTGAAAATCATCAGATTTTGAGAAATAACAAAGTTCAGTCATTGTCTCTATTATTTTGTCCTTTTTCTTCCAAGATATTTATTTATTAGTGGTATCAGAGCGGGTTAAGAGAGAGTCACGAAAAAAGGGGAGAGTATAGCAGTAGCTTTCTTCCTGTCTTTTGTATTGCAGAGAGAAAAGTGTCACAAAGTTCATCCCGTATGGCTACTGATAACTTCGTTCAACCTGCCATCCCGTGCTTTGATGGTCACTATGACCATTGGGGTATGTTGATGGAGAACTTCTTGAGGTCCAAAGAATATTGGCAGGTCGTCTCCAACGGAATAGCAGAACCAGCAGCAAGCACAATAGTGACAGATGCACAGAAAACAAAATTAGAAGGATAATGTTTGAAGGATCTCAAAGCAAAAAATTATCTTTTCCAAGCCATTGATCGTTCAATCTTAGAAACCATTCTTTGCAAGGATACGTCCAAGCACATCTGGGATTCCATGAAGAAGAAGTATCAAGGTTCGGCAAGGGCAAAAAGGCAGCAGCTTCAAGCACTTCGTTCGGAGTTCGAAACACTATGAATGAAATCGGGAGAGTCGGTCACAGATTACTTTTTACGGACAATGGCAATCGTCAATAAGATGCGGATCCATGGTGACAAGACGGAGGACGTCACCATAGTAGAGAAGATCTTTCGATCCATGACACCAAAATTTAATTTTGTTGTTTGTTCCATAGAAGAATCTCATGAAATTGATGAACTTTCAATTGACGAATTACAATGTTCTTTGTTGATTCATGAGCATAAAATCAACCAGCAGGAGAAAGAGGAGTAAGCTTTGAAGGCCTCCATAGAAAATCATCTGGCACCAAGGAGAGATAGAGGACGAGGTAGAGGTAGTGGCAGAGGTAGAGAAAGCAATGATTGTGGAAACCAACAAAAACATCAACATCAAGACAACCAAGTTCAAGGAAGAGGAAGAGGAAGAGGATGAGGAGACCACCACTCAACTACATATAGACCAACGTCAGCAAACAAGTCCAATGTTGAGTGCTACAGATGTCACAGGTATGGCCACTACAATTCTGAATGCCGAACTAATTTAAATAGACAACATGGAGAAATGTCTAATCTTGCAGAGAAGGAAGAAGAAGTATCCTTGTTAATGGTTTGTCATGTAAAGTAGGGAAACCAACAAGAATTTGTGGTACTTAGACACAGGCTGCAACAATCATATGTGTGGAGACAAGTCGGAATTCTCTTATTTGGATGAGTCATTTCGCGATAATGTGAAGTTTGGTGACAATTGTAGAGTCTCAGTTATGGGAAAAAGGAAGGGTGACAATCCAAACCAAGGGGGATTCTACTCAAACAATCTCCAATGTGCTCTTCATTCCAAACTTGAAGACCAATCTGCTTAGTGTGGGTCAGCTGCAAGAAAAGGGATACGAGGTTTCTATCAAAGATGGAGTTTGTCAAATTCAAGATGCAAAGTTAGGCTTAATTGCTCAAGTTAACATGATAGTGAATCGTATGTTTCCGCTTTATCTCCACAACATCACTCATTCATGCTTCTCAGCCAAATTGAAGGATGCAGCATGGCTATGGCATTTTCGCTATGTCACCTAAACTTTGGTGGATTGAAGACTCTACAACAGAAAAATATGGTGACTAGTCTTCCTCAAATTACAGCTCCATCTGAAGTTTGTGAAGACTGTGTTGTTAGCAAACAACATCGTAATCAATTTTTGAAAGGAAAATCATGGAGAGCGAAAAAGGCGTTGGAGCTGGTTCATTCTGATCTTTGCGGGCCAATTGATCCATCTTCCAACGGAGGTAAGAGGTACATAATTATCTTCATTAATGATTATAGTCGAAAAGTATGGGTCTATTTTTTGCAAGAAAAATCTAAAGCTTTTGCAGCATTTAAAAATTATAAAGTGCTTGTTGAGAAAGAAATTGGCAGCCCAATAAAGGTTCTTCGCACTGATCGTGGTGGAGAATACAACTCTCTTGAATTCGCAAAATTTTGTGAGACCCATGGAATCAAGAGGCAACTTACGACAGCTTACACGCCTCAACAAAATGGAGTTTGTGAGCGGAAAAATCACACTATTTTGAATATGGTGTGAAGTCTGTTGCAGAGGAGTGGCATTCCAAAAACCTTTTGGCCCGAAGCAGTTAACTGGAGCATTCATATTTTGAATAGGTGTCCCACACTCGTTCAAAATATGACTCCAGAGGAAGCATGGAGCGGACGGAGACTGGGAGTAGTTCATTTCAGAATTTTTGGGTGTGTTGGCTATGCTCATATTCCAGACCAAAAGAGAACAAAGCTAGATGACAAGGGAGAAAAATGCATTTTTCTTGGTGTTAGTGATCAATCAAAAGCCTATAAGGCTTACAATCCTATCACTAAGAAAATTGTTATCAGTCGTGATGTTGTTTTTGATGAAGAAAGTTTTTGGCCATGGAACAACAATGTTGTCAAACATCAAATACCCATCAACTTTGATGAAGACAACGAAAATGAGAGGTAGTAGCCAACAGAAAATGATCAACAAATTCCACCAGATGGTTCGGCAGATGTTCCAAGCTCGCCAACAGCAATAGAACGGCCTCAACGTGTTAGAAGAAGGCCTGTATGGATGACTGATTATGAGGTAACCAAAATTGACCAATCTGAGGACCCACTTACATATTTTGCTCTATTTTCGGATTGTGATCCTACAGTTTTCGAAGAGGCTGTCAAAGAATCCAAATGGCGGAAGGCAATGGACGAAGAAATTGCAGCCATTGAACGAAACAACACTTGGGAGTTGACTGATCTTCCAAGAGGGCACAAGACAATTGGTGTCAAGTGGGTGTACAAGACAAAATTGAAGGAGAATGGAGAAGTTGACAAATACAAGGCACGCCTATTTGCTAAAGGCTATAAGCAAGAATTTGGAGTGGATTATAGAGAAGTCTTTGCTCCTGTCGCAAGACATGATACGATTAGATTGGTGATTGCATTGGCAGCTCAACATTCATGGCCTATCTTCCAAGTGGATGTGAAATCAACATTCTTGCATGGTGAACTACAGGAACATGTATTTATTGATCAACCTCCTGGTTATGTGAAGCTTGGAAGTGAAAATAAGGCTTATAAACTCAAAAAGGCATTATACGGGCTAAAACAAGCACCACACGCTTGGTATAGTCATATAGATGCTTATTTTTCTAAAGAGGGATTTAAGAAATGTCCATATGAGCACACACTTTTTACAAAGATTGAAGATGGAGGAAAATTTCTCATTGTTTGCTTATATGTTGACGATCTTATTTTCACTAGAAATGATAGTGCTATGTTTGAAAGTTTTAAGAAGTCCATGATGATTGAGTTTGATATGTCTGACCTTGGAAAGATGCATTATTTTTTGGGTATTGAAGTGGTGCAATCTGCAACTGGAATTTATATTTCACAAAGGAAGTATGTGCAAGAAATTTTGGATAGGTTTCAAATGAAAAATTGCAATTATGTTAGCACGCCAACTGAAGTGGGTCTGAAGCTTGTTCGAAATCCTGAAGGAAGGAAGATTGATAGCACTCTTTACAAGCAAATTGTAGGGAGTCTAATGTATTTAACTGCTATAAGACCTGGCATAATGCATGCTGTGAGTCTCATAAGCAGGTTCATGGAGTGTCCGAAAGAGATTCATCTCTTAGCTGCAAAAATGAATCTTTCGATACTTGCAAGGGACTGCTAGTTATGGGCTGTTCTACAAGAAAGGAGAAAAGTCTGATTTGTTCGGTTTCACTGACAGTGATTATGCCGGAGATTTAGATGATCGGAAAAGCACTTCAGGATATGTTTTCTTGCTTGGTTCTGGAGCTGTTTCATGGTCTTCAAAAAAGCAATCAATTGTCACTTTGTCAACAACTGAAGCAGAGTTTGTA